CAAACGACGGACAGGACCTTTGGCGTAGCATTAATTAATGGCGCCCAAGAGGCATGCTGTCCCAAATGTCAGCTGTTTTGCAACACGTGTCTCCTGATTATTATTCCACGGGTCAACAAACTGTATCTTCGGTGCTAGAATAGATGTTTTAGCTGTGTTATATTGAAACTAGTGTTTGGGACTGATGATGTAAGCGATTCAACGATTCATGTTTATTTTGTTAATTTCTTTCGCTTCATCTTCCTTACAATAGATGATGTTAGTTTCCAATAAATATGTTGTCATTCACATTACTTCCTCCTTTTATTATTAAAGATGAATTTCATTCTTTAGAGAGAATTAATTCAATCCAGAAATGTAAATTTAACCACTGCTTCGTCGTATATTTTGAAAGCAGTGAAGTAAATAAAATTAAAGTCCGTTAAAGTTAAAACATAGGAGAAAGGTCATGTTAATTATGCGTCCTGCAAATTTTATTTCACATTAAAAGGAGAGCGTTCGTGGTACACATTTTTAGTTGGTAAAATTGTCCTCAGCCCTGTCTAGCGCATTGGACGTTGAATTTGCATACATTTTAAAATTTCACTCTGAATTTTAGTTTAAATTCAAACTTAGCTACGAGAATTTTTATTACTGTACGTAATCGGGGTAACATGTTGTTATAGTATCTGAACGGAACAGTTTTCCGGGAGTTTATTGAATTTTTACCATACAACGAAGTTAAATTGTTTACGTTATAAAAACGCACTGCTATTGAGCCCTGTCTGATTTATTGCACAAGTTCCGGCAGAATGAAATTTATTTCAGAATAAACGGATTCGAGGTCTTTTTTTGTCTTCCATCAATTTTAAATCCTGTTTCTATTTAGGGTATCAATATGGACGATTCCGTCCGTATATAGCTGAAAAAGAACGAATAACACGTCCCTATAAATGGGGATTTTCGTCAAACTCCTGCATTTAGAATGTCAGAACGGACACCTAAACAAAAGACCCTCGTGAGCCTCAAATTAGCTGTGACACTTCTCTGTCCATTTTCCCCTCAAAACGTTTAGCCTTTTTATTTGTGGAACCAAACAATGAGATGACAAGCTTTGAACAGACTTGATTACCAACACAATTGCCGTCAAATTAACTCTCGAACCAATTTGGATTCTGTGTGCTTACAGAGTTTTAAAGAAATATAAGATTGTTTGCAACAAAGTACTGTGTTCGAATATCTTTGAAAACAATGTTTTATGTCGACATTAATGGTACTCAGCAGTATTTATTAGCGTTTGTTTTATTACTTCTAACACTAAAACTAACGTCAGACCCAAGTCCACGGTTGTGTCAAAAAAGTTGGCTTTGGTCGTTGCCCTCGGTTGAAAATCGATAGAAGTTCATTGAGGGGAAGGCCAACTCGTATTGTATTATGTTATGGAATTGTTTCGCAGAATGCCCAGCCTTTTATTTGTTGTGTTTTAGTTTGATTCGATATTGTGTGTGCTTATGTTTGTTGGTTTATCGGCTGTGATAGCCTCGTAATGTAGTTTGGGAATTAAGTGCATTAACAAATTGTTTTTGTTCATGATTTTACGTAGTCTTATTGTTCGGGTATGTCTTAGATGACGATGTGTGTTAAAAATGCCCTAAATTTTATGTAGGTATAAACTTTTCCATGTCTATGGAAGTCATTTCATTACCATGTAATAACCCTAGCTAACAGTCAAAAGATTTCCTAACATGACGTCACCACAATGACTGGAAGGTATAACATGCCAAAATATGGCAAAGTAATTACTCTAATGCAGACTCACATGTAGGCCAAAATGTTGGAGAAATTGTGTTTCAGTTCCCGCAGTGGATTTATCAGAGTATTTCGTAAAACCGAATTATCACAGAGATGTTTCTGCCTATCTATGGACCGTGTAATTATTCTAATGTCTACTGTCCCTGTAACTAAGAGCTGGTAATACGTTTAACCTTCAACGTAATTTATCGCACAGTTTTCCATTTAAATTAGATCTAGCGTGTTATTATGTTTAGTGCGTGTTGCTTAAAATTTTGTCTCGTGTATGACCAGAATGAGCATTCTTAACGTGTGTTTTGTCTCTGTTCATTAGTGCTCATACGTTACCGTAACAAAAGGCTATTTAACACTACATTTTACTGTCTCTTACGAGTTATTAAGACTATTTTGGCATGTGTCCTCTTCGAATAAATGATTGATATAAATACACTGGTTCCAGGACATTCGAATTCTAACCAATTTGTCTAGTATACTTCAAATAGGACAGCTGAAGTATCACTCGCTTTTCGTCGATTATTTCATTGGTCCCATTGTAAAAGGGGGCTAACTTAGTTACCGTTAGCAACCACTTGAACTATGGAACAGAGGCGACACGTTCAAATAAAATAAAAAAAAACAGAACGATTTCTCTAGTCCAAAGTATGTAGTCGTGTTTAAGATTAATCGTGTTTAAGGTATATCTAGCTAGTCGTGTGGTTTGTCTTGACACCATATTATATTTTTTTTTCATATTTATTTTCATCTAAAATATTCCCTATTTCTAAACTAAAGTTGAAATGACAGATATCATTACTTCCATATATAACTATCGTCTACCTTCGATGAGTTTTGGAACCGGCAGCGCCTTTTGTACCTGTCAGTCATCGTGATGAACGCTTGGCATTCAATTGATCTATAATGCGCCAGTTATGTCCGATGTTTAGCCTGTCGCCATCCCAAGCACGTTTGATTCAGTTGCTAATGGAAATATCAATAATGCAACAGATATTATGCTGCTTGATCGAGTTACTGCAGAAGTAAATTAAATTAAGTAATTAATGCTCATACTTCCGACTACGTACTTAATAACTTAGCAATAGGATTTCCAGAAACTAAAAGATAGTTAATTAAGTAGTAACTAGCTCATTCAAGCTATACTCTGCAATATCGTTAAGTTCAATAATATTTTCTGCCGCTTTTATTGCCTCGAAAATGTCTTATACAAAATAAGACATCAATCAATTGAGTATTGTTCCAAATATCCTATGTAACGCAATATTCGTAGCACATGCCAAATACATTTAGGACGAATAACGTTTCAGCGATATTACATACGTGAATATATTTACAAGTGTCTAAATGTCTGCGATCGATACTCATACATTTGTTTCCAATTAGTTACCAAGGACTCAAATATTTCGCAGCTCTATCGATCCACTGCACCCAACACTTGCATTGCTTGCAGTAATTTATGGTGGAAGGGGAGTTTTGTATTGCACTATACCCTATCTACAGTAACCACCCTTATTCTGACTCCAATAAAGTCTATTATGCCAATGTATAGGGGATTTAAGCAAGGGGTTTGACCCACGTGTTACATCCATTATTGCGTGATCCCATTTTTTTGTGGATGTTCGAATGCTCCAGGAGGAGGCCATGCAGTCAATTGAATTTGTTTAGTGTGCCTCAAAATGCGGATCATTTTAATTTGAACATGTGAATATAATTTGTTCTGACCGCATCAGGTTCATTCTAAATTTCTTTTGAATTATTCTTTATTGTTGTTTGAACATAATTTTCATCTTTAAAGTTACATATCTTGTTTCATGCCGTTTCCATTTCTTCTGCCATCTTTTTTAATATCCGTTCATAATGAAATTTAACATCCGTGTGCAAAGCAATTGTTGGGTCGACTTCTTATTCATTTTCTGCACGTTTTTGTATAATTACGACATCAGGTTTTATGAGAATAGCCTCTTTACAGTTATTATTGTTCAGTTAGTGAAGTAACGAAAGTGTTAGTCTTGTTAGTTAGGGCACCAAATATCAAGTTTCGTCCATTTTCATCTTAAAGTCTAGGAAATGTAGATTGTATTTGGGTTCAAAATGTGTGTCGGTGTAAACCGATACTTCCATAAATCCACCGCACCACAGAGTATCTGTTGCGGAGCTAGAATTTCTAACAAGGTGTTGCTGTCAGTCATATGCCAATATTCGCTATAATTTGTCTTTCATTTTCGGGTGGTAGCCCGTTTTTGGTCTGGAATACAGGAGTTATTTCTAGTCTGTCTATTAAGGGGTTTAGGAAATGAAGGCATGTAGTGGTACTCTTAGGAACTATGAATGAGCAGACACGAGTGTCGTGTCTTAAGAGGATGAAATATAACACATTTTTAGCCAAGTTACTTATGCCTGGTGAACCCATGATATACTTCTAGTTACTGCTACTCCTAATGAGACACTAAAACTGTTTCTCAAAATAGACAATATAACTTCAAAATTAAACAATACACGAAACTAATTCCTAACGTGAAATCATTAAAACATTAAGCTTGTTAGACACCACTCGAATCATATTCGTGTACGCCACGGGATTGCGACCCTCCAGTGCTCGTTTCTCCTCCTCCTCGCTTATTATACAAATATTGCCGTGAGCGGCACAACTGAATCAGACACAACTTATTGTTAATTTATATTCGTCTGTTTTTATTGAATTAACATTGTTCATTCTTGTTTTGTCTTTAACTATCATTATTGTGACTATAGTTTCTTTATTCTGATTTAAGTCTATAGATACAGTCTACACATTATTGAAATGAGTGCTCGATATACTTCCATCGAATAAATTAGACAAATAGTGCCTTTTGATATTTTACGCAGTATGAAACACAACTTTCAAAAAGTATATTTTTATGTCAATTATTATTTAACTCGTCGAGTACCGGTTTTGTAGACACAATTATAGAACAATAGGTTGCGGTCACCGGTGACCGCTTGGTGTTTGACAGTTTAACTAGCGACCTGCCCCGACTTCGCACGGGTGCAATATGCATGTATTATAAACCTTCCTTAAGAATCACTTTATCTATTTAAAAAAACCGCATCAAAATCCGTTGCGTTGTTTTAAAGATCTAAGCATACATAGGGACAGACAGACGGTGGATAGCGACTTTATTTTGTACTATGTAGTAAGTATAGTATTTAACTAATTTGGAATTAATTTGTTACAGGAAATGCTGTTCGACTCTTATCGGTAAGTTCAATTTTATTAATAGCAGTCTTAAAAGGGCTATCGAATATCGTCTTCAGTAATTTTCTTTGCTACTTCATTTATAACAAAAAGGCAACAGGTGTCCTAATTACGTTATTTGATTACAGACACGAAAGTCTTTTAATTAAAACCGAACAACTAGCCTCTAATCCTTTTAATGTTTACCCCAAAGAAGCTTCCTAAATTCCCTTTGTAAATGTATACAAACCTAATAAGAATTTAACACAAATCTCAAACTCTTGGAAACTTCCAAGTTTAGGTTCCGGCAGATAAATGTTTTTGTATCCTTTGTATCATTGTTTCTTGGTAACCTTTGATTTTAAAGATAACCAACTGGGCAACAATTAATGCTGTTTCTGCTCAATTTGAAATTCAAATTGTTTGATAAAGATAATATTAATTTTCAATGTTACGGCAACAAACTATCTCTGTAAGATCATCTTGAACAAGCTTCACTTGGTCCAGAGTTACCGTTAACCGTTTATTTAACTTTGCGAATGTCTTATTACCATAATCATTCATATTGATATACATTTTCGTTGTTCTAGTCTTTTATCATAATAATCATGTGTTCACTGAACATTGACCGCCTACGGCTGGTTATTTCGTGTATCGTAAGGTATTCGGTTATTCCATTTCGTCGAATAAACATTATATATATCTGTTTACCATCAATTTGTTTCGCCTCCTGCGGGCACGCCTCTGTATCGAGTATTTTACAGACAGTTTTCGTATCCTCTGTACTGTAAAATATTAGCTTCATTTTCTCTTTTATATCTTTGTCGTTATTTAGTTCGTTTGCATTTTAGCTATTATTTCTTAATAACATCTATTTGTATTGCAAATATTTTATTAATTATTTTTCATCCTTTCTAAGTCTGTCATCATCTAGTCTAGATTACAGGTTTGTTATCAAAGTACTGTTATTTTCTAGTCCACTGGACCTCAACGATGCTTGGCTTCCGACTTCGAAGTGGGAGTAAAAAACCCCTCACTTGTTTGCTGTCAATGACTAATTGATAAGGGGGGAACAAGTACTTCTTCAGAACCGGTGATTTAGTTTGGTACATCAAGTTCAAAAAGATGAATAGTTTTTAATTGGATAAGTGCTGTAATTTGTTATACATGTTATGGGGGCACTGATGTCACATGTTATATCTAATTATTACCATAACATTTTCAATTGATAAATCAAATATCATCAATATCCATTCCGGATGAAATGTAAGCAACAACTAGAAAACATTCAGTAAATTCGTTATCCGTCATCTTTGCATTAAAATCGTTTTCAAAGTAAAAATTTGCTTTCCAAAACGAAATGTAATGCAATCCGAAATCCGATTTGCCTTTTCAAATCCTTTTCACAAACATTTAGCCTGCTTTAGAGAGCAACAAACACAGTTTACTTAACATCCGCATCTGTGTGTACTGTAACTTTTATATGTGAAATTTATTCATATAGAAGTCAGTGAGAATGTGTCCAAACAGTGGCTTCAATGAATGAATCGCTTTTTTTGTTACCGTTGGTAGTCCCGTAACGAGCATGTTACCATTTCCGAGGTACGATTAAGATCGCCTTAGTGATAACTTACATTATATTTAGTCTTCGAGCCACTGGCAAAGTTTTCTGGCTTCGCACCAAATTGTATTTGGGCGTGTCCTTCGCCTTCCTACTTTAGCTTTGTTACTTAACGTCAGATAAACGATTTGTTCTTAAAATTTTCCGGTGTAAAATTTTATGGCTCAAATTCTTTGCAGTCTGTTTGTGTTATTCTCGTGTTTATGCTGTGTGGGCACTCTAGCTTTGCTCGGAATCTCTGCAGCATTTTTAGCGTCAGTTGACACTACCTCTCGAAAATGTATTTTATTTCGTAACAGCAAAAATGTTTTCACCTAAACTTTTCCCTAAAACTCGAGCTAGATGAAAAATATTTTGCTGTCATTTCTTTTGCTCTTGCGTCCATCAAAAGTATGGCACGTGGATTTTATCCGTTAGTTATTCCTACAAGTAATTAATGATTCTATACCTAGCCAACTAAAGGTATTTCGGCTTCTCTTTACTCATGAATTTTATATGAACCTCCTCTGCAGGTTCATGAATATTCATTATTGTACATGTATCAGTGATTAGCTTTGTCCATCAATGTCTGCATTTGTATCTTTCCACAAACTTGTATAAAAGAACAATAATTGTCACTCGTCAAGTACTTTTAACAATGTAAACAAAAATTACTTATCAACAAGGAAGCAAAGCTGTTTCTCATTGCGAAACGTTGAAACATCATATAGCACAATGTAGCTGATATAACATGGCGTCTCGGGCAAAACAATGGCTTTTTAGTCACGCCTTGAAACTTTTCAAAGCGCCTATACAACGTTTATGTTGCGGTAAGAGTTGGTGCTCACGTGCGACTTTTAATCGATGGTGTTATGTTGGTGGTTGCGTAGATGATATCCGTATACATTATTGATTTTAATGGTTTCTCTTGAATATTGTTATTGTACTGTTGAATCAAATTGATTGTGATTTTGTGGATACCTTTTACCATACCTTTCGTCATTTTCGGTTGCTTTCCAATCTGTAACATAAACATTATTGATCATCATGCCACAGAGGGTAGACAGTTGATAAAGCTATTTTTGTAATACATTATTTTTTGGCAGTCCCGTTTTTGTCTCGTATCAACTGCAGCTATAACTTTATTCAAGTAATCTTTTACCAAAGTCAAAACAGTATACCAACTCCCTAAAGCAAGGCAAACGAAATATGTAACCCGCGATAATCGTTCGTTCGCGTTATCTCTAACAGTTTATTCGCACGCCAGTTTTCGATACATTAGGCAGAAAGGTCGAAATCCAAGTCCATTACTTAGCACTGACCATTCTGACCAAGGACTCTACGGCTTTGGGTAAAGGTAAATGGAATTTATTTACACCATTTTGCAGTGAATGATCTTATGATTGAAGTTTATTGTATAGAAAATGATATTTTTAGTGTCAGAAATGCTTAAAGGGTATTAAAATGGATTTATACAAGCCGTGTGGCCGTTGTATGTGCAACTGCTGAGTGTAAAGTCGATATTTCGGTTCTCTGGTCAGCCCGAAGTATTATTCGGTTGTCCAATTTTTGTCATTTTCCATATTAGCTTGGAATTTGGAATTTTGCTTTGCGTACAGCGATAGACACGCACCTGTTACTAGAGACTTTATGAGTGACGAAAACTGTGTGACGCATTTAATATTTCCACGTCTGCTTGACCCTTAGGGGAAAAGGTGTTATATGTAGTTACAGACCGTAAACGTCCATTCGTAAATGTAGGCTTCCCCTAACCGCGCGAATAAATGTTCCTAAGGGAACTATTTATTGCATCGGACTTATGCACACGGCACTAATTATCTGATTGTTCGTTTGTTCGCTTGTTTGTTCAATAAACACGTACCTACTATCTAAATAAATAAACCCAGTGAAAATAGTGTTTTGTGTACTTTGCTAAATGTTGCAATATCTTTAATTTAACACTGTAATGGATTGAAAAATACCAGCTTTTGATTTAGATACCTGTTTATTTTTCTAAGCGTGGGAGTAGATTGTTATCATATTTTGCTAACAGATTTAAAGCAAATGTTTGAATTTTCTATAATTCTAGTGTAGTGTAGATACTAAAATATAAGGCTGCAAATCAAGGACGGAGTATACCTATTCACTCATAATAACCACAAGCGAAAAGTGGGTGCCACATTTTAATATAATGTACATAACTATGTCTTTCTTACCATGGAATATTAAACGAAGAAGTATCTTACAAATGAATAGCATGGCGCCAACTCACCTCTTCATAAAACTATCATCAAAATAAAAATACACGTAATTATGTGCTGTGGTTACCATAAAATGGGATCAGATTTTCATAACGAAGTCCAAAAAGAAACGTCTAACATAAACCGAAGAACGGGCTGTTGATGATTCTCAACATTTTAATAGTCTCTGCAGTGGTTCGATATAAAACGACGATAAATTCTATAAATATCGCCTCTGTTAGCTCCATCGGCCACCCTCCGTGTGGCTGGTGACTCACACATAGGGGTAGATCCAGATATAATAATAAAGGAACCCTGTTTGATATTTAATATTACAAGTCTTTTATGCCCTAAGTTCGAAACACGTAAACGTAATTGTTATTGCTATACTTATAATCGGTAAAAGATAATTCAGTATTCTCTGAAGAAGGATCAACTAAATTAGAACTTTTATTAGTTACAGTATTTCTAATACTCCACTGAACTAATTCTCGTTTATCTGTCATAAACTGTATGTCTATAATATATTACATGAATAACAGCAATCATAAAACAAGATTGCCAGTAAGGCTCTTCAGTACAATACAACAAATTCTCCCAAAATGCAAACTTACGTGACACGTCAACATAAACCTTCGGCTTCCATTTCCTGGATTGCTACTGCACCTGTACTGTTGCCAATACTGAGGGCTACGTCATCATTTCGATTTATTCAAATGCTTTTTATACGAGGGGACGTGAGGGTAGGTCCAGGCGCTTGACAAATTGCCCCAAAGCCAGACGGAGGACCGTGAATGTGTGCGTGCTAGATATGTTCAACTGGGGGTCTCTAGAGCCTAAGGGAGTGGATTTTTCGATATATTTATTGGTTTTAATAAGACTGCTGTTGAAGGTGGAGTGTGCTAGGGGAATTCGGACTTTATGCTTGTTGTTCAAAGTGTATTGTGTTTCAGTGGCCGTTTGTTCAGAATTTGCGTAGTGTTGAAAATGACGGTGGCATAATATAATTAATATTTAGTAGTAGCGCACAAAGAAATATATCCTTCTAATCCAAAACAAGATTGGGTTTACATTAAGAGCTCAAGTTACAATAAATTAAGGTGCGGCTAACTTTTATTTATTCATTCAATTACTTATTCTGTTACTTAGTAAAACTTTCGTTCTTGCCAATAACTCCTTATACA